AACAACGTTATAAAAAAATCAGATATTTTGTTGCTTTTTTTAATGTGATGATATATACCTTCCAATTTATGACAGCGCCTTTTCGCTGTTTTGCTCGAGTTTGGCTTTTACATTTAATTACCATGAATCCTCTTTGCTCTGGATTTATATCGTCACCGGGAGCCAACTGAATACTATATTCTTCGAGGTAATTCCTGGCTGCTTTTTGTGGTACAGCTCTCTCGAGGGTAACTACAATCTTGGCCCACTGAAATAAGCACATCAAATGCGTTATGGGGTTTGTGATTTATATATATAAACTATACCTATAGATATAGGAATAATATAAGCAAAACACCATTTAATGGTATAAATTATTATAAATTATTTATAATTACACGATCCATTATTATTATGTTTCACCTGTTTCATCCATTCCTTTTCGCTTTGTTCGATGACATGTGCATAAGTGTTTCCCATCATAGCTATTAACATGTTAAGTAATAAAATGGGCACTAAAACCATAAAAACCGTAAACACGGTTTTGCTGAGAGCGGGGTACACAGTGTAACTCAAATCTGCGTACTATACATAAAATGTAACGTATTATATCATATATTATCATTACGTGTTGCATCAAAGGAGATCGGTCGTAACTCACATTATAGTCGCCCATAGTAATTTGAAATAAGGCCATCCATGTAGAAGGATAAGATTTATATAACGAAGTACTGACGTCTGGTGATCCTTTGTAGAGGAAAAAAAACGATTGCGTAAAACCAGACAAAATTACTGAGTAGATGACGAAGAAAGTTAACATGTCTCCTGTGATCATCAAGTACACCATAGTTACGAAAGGACCAGTCAGGCGTATAGCGCTAAAGCACGGTATTCAATACATTACTTTATCAAACCTTCTTTTTTTTTCGCCTTATATAATACATAATACCTAAACTATTTATTATTATTATATTATAAAATACCCAGCAAAAAACATTAATAAAAACCAAGATCCGGGAACTGCAAATACTAATATGGCTTCTTCCGTTTGTTTGTCACCCATCATCCTAGGTGGTATACAAGCCAATATCAACAAATTGGAAATCAGAAATATTAGTTTGGCTGGTTCCTTGAACTATAATCAAATGTGCTGTTAATATTTAATGGTAAATACAAACGTTTTACTTGGCTATTTACCGTTTGTTTTAAAAATCCTACCAGACCTTGATTGAGTATTTCTCCGCCTTGCTGAACGATTAAATATGACAGCACTCCDACTACTGTTCCACCTTCAAAACAATATCTTGCCACATCTTGCCAGTCTTCTGCTTCTCCTAATAGTGGTTTGTCTTGGTCCACGGGTCTTAGGTATATAGAAATACTCAACATGATTAAATGGATGGATAATATAACTAAACGTTTCATAAATTGTTTCTTTAGCCAAATAAAAAAACAAAATAAAAATAAAACCATATTATGCCATTTAAACTTGTTAGTAAAAAATAGTAATACTAATAATATACATAGGTATATACCCGAGCAAAAGTTTTCCACTTTTCTTCTAATAGTTTTTGTATTATGCCTCCATCGAGCATGTCCAAATGTTCTTCTTTGGTACCGTCCAAAATTATAAACAATACAGAATTCCAATCTACGACGTAGTAATAATATGTTATTCAATTGCTAGACTAAATTCTATATAGATTAACAAACTTGTTCTTCCGTCTGGAAGTAATGTATCTAATGCACTTAAAGGATATGCCGAACACGTAATATTACTATATCTCCAAAATTCCCGTGCACTTAGTTCCAACATTTCACGGAAAACACTTGTTCTAGCAAGTTTACACGATAGTGTTAAAGGAGTTAGTCCTGCCATGTTCATGATACCATTACTTGCTGGCACTTTAGGGTGTTTCAAAGCGTAACCAAACATACTCTAAGAAAAATGTATAAATGTATATACCTATTCCCTTTATAGATATAGRTACTGATWGGTTATTAGGGATACACATTATTAAAAAGTGAATGACTTTTGTCTTTTTCAGTTTTGTACTTTTGTAACAATTTAACAACATTTTGTTATTTTTATTAATATTTATGGTTAAAATTATAAACTATTTCTTAAAAATATAAAAACAATATATTTCGTAATATTTGAAAATTTAATATAAATATTATCAATGAATTAATTGATTTATTAAATTTAATGCATCAAAATTCATTAAGAAAAGTATTAGTTATTCTTTTTTATTGCTTTTAAATAATTTTAAGGGCAAATCTAGGTCATGTTCACATTTTTTAAGATCATTATTTAATGTTTTTTTCTTTTAAACTCTATCCACATTAATATAATGCATAAAATATATAAATTAAGCAAACTACTGTAAATTATAATTAAAATTTGATTTAAAAAAATTCGGGTTCTTGCTTTTAGTGCAAAATGTACATTCATAATATCATAAAATATAAKGATACTAAATAATTACGGTAATTATATTCTGTRCTGAACTGGTCTTACTATTTATTAAGTTATAAAAAAAAACTGTTATTCATAAGTTTTCTCTATATAAATTTYGAATTTTAAATTGTACCTAATCATTATAATATACAAGTCACAGMTGTAGCAGTGTATATGCAGGAGAAATGTTAAATTTGACTTCAATATCAAAGCATCATTATTATTKCACACGAAAAACGAATCTRAACGGATACTGTAGCACTGTGTACAGCCTTTATTTCTAAAGATAGACGTACTTTAAAATAATTTGTATTGTTATAAATAACACAGTAGGCTAATTTTTGAGATGAACATCTCGATAATGGTACTGGTACATCAAAAAATTGGTTTTGGTTGYCTAATCAACATAGACTTCCACATACGACCGACCTAACTTTTGTCTCCAGAAAATTGCGCAATAAAATAGG